CCGAGTGCAACAGTTTTTGTAGCAGTGCAAAGGAGAAGATCGCACAGTGTTAACGTCAACGAATATCTGTCTTCACATTCCCCACGACCCCTTTTATACACCGTCAGACTTCCCTGTGTGTAAGTCTGTGGGCTGACGTCAACTAATATCGCCCTTCAGCTTGATGCTGATCTTCCCCGACCCACACACAGCCAGAGGATTGTAAGTATACCAGGGAATGTGGCTTTACCAAAAAAAAAAAAAAAAAAGAATCGCACAGTGTTGGTACATTGTCCTGCTGCAAGATGGAGCCAGAGAAATGCTCTTGGACACAAAATTGAGATTGCGGATGGTTTGGTGTGGCAAGAAAACAGCATCCTTCTATAAGAACTCAGTAATGTCAGTCATGGCATGGGCCATGACGCCGTTGTCCCACAGCTCCCCCACCCTGTGGTCAGAGGCAAGTACAATGGTCATATAATGGCCAGGTACATGCACAATGCAGGCAGAGATGTCCGATGGGGGATTAAATCATTAAACCAATCACCTGCTCGAGCAGCATTGCGCATGTACCTGGCCTCGTTGCTACTCGTCGGACAGTCAGCATTGTGTTCAAGCTGACTGTCCCTCGTAAGGGGCGATATTAGTTGACGTCAGCCCACAGACACACAGAGAGAGAGAGAGAGAGAGAGAGAGAGAGAGAGAGAGATTAGTGACAGTCAGCTTGAACTAGGCAATGTCTGTGGGCGATATTAGTTGACGTCAGCCCACAGACTTACAATCCTCTCGCTGTGTGGGGGTCGGGGAAGATCAGCATCAAGCTGAAGGGCGATATTAGTTGACGTCAGCCCACAGACTTACACACAGAGGGAAGTCTGACGGTGTATAAAAAAGGGGTCGTGGGGAATGTGAAGACAGATATTAGTTGACGTCACCCCACAGAGATTGGTGAGGTTCTTAGGCTGGTGTGTTCGGATGCTGGCCGACAATTTGGCAGATCACCCAGATGGTGCTGCAAGCCCAAAATGTATTGGGTTGTTCGCTGGTCAGTCACTTGCAGATCACCCATGCAGACTGCGCCGCGTGTATCACGAAGATGGACAAGAACAAAAAAACAAGGAAAACCGGACAAAGCGCCTCGTGTCAAGTTATCTTTCCAGTCCAATGGTGGGGCCACGTTTTGATCCCCAGCCTCTCTCTCTCTCTCTCTCTCTCTCTCTCTCTCTCTCTCTCTCTCTCTCTCTCTCTCTCTCTCTCTC